CATCATTATTACCATCATTATCATCATTATCATCATTATTATCGTCATCATTATCGATGTTTACATATGACGTCATTATCAATCAACCAATCAGCTAGCGGATAACAAAACCCACCAATCAATGATCCTCTTAGAAATCTGGCGCCAACCACAGCTCTGAGTTGCCAAGACGTAAATAAAGCGTCGCATGGCATATAAATTATGTCGTTGGCGGGAATTGGTGATGACTACAGCTTGATTCTTCAGCTTGAAGGAGAAAAAACTTGCGAATAACAAAGAAGTTTATTAATTATTATTAACCTCAGGTACGAATTCTATTTGTAGTGTTTGATAAATGGCGACATCTTGCAACTTCCCCACCAATCACAGTGCTCGATTGGAACGCCATTACCTACTCAGCGAGCATAATGTCACAATGATAAGCTAATGTGTCCATATTTTACTTTTATTAACAACATTATTCTCTTATTAAGGTCTATATTTTACGATTAAATTATAAAATATTAATTAATAGCAAATTTGTAGCGTCACTGCAAATAAAAAACCCAATAATATTCAAATTATTAAAAAAAATGCCTAATGGCCACTCAGAGAGCATAAACCAAACAATATATCCACTATACTTAATAAATCACTTAAATAAATCACTTAAATATATCACACCCGACAATATATCTTTCATTATTAATTAACTTCATTTAATCTCAAGTCAGTTCCCCCAACGAGTCGAGAATATTAATTACATAAAAGTTGTCAAGAAATATTATTGGAACACCATGACGTCATCGGCCACTCAAGAAGCGTAATGACATACAACAGGTCGCTTACACCTAAATAACTCTTAATTTTTGTCTAATTCTATATATAATCAATCAATCACTTAATCAATCACCTAATCAATCACCTAATCACCTAATCTCAATCAATCACAAGGTCACGTGAGGAAGACCAATCCTTTACGGTGATAATAAATTTCAGTTGTAAAATAGCGTGACATTTTTAGTTTATTATTGTGGATTTTTTACGAGTCAGAGGGAGGAGGGAGGGGGAGGGAGGAGGAGGAGGGAGGAAGGAGGAAGGGAGTAAAGGGAGTGGTTGAAGGAATGAAAGACTGAACGCCCTTAAAATAGATACACATCAGACCTCTGCCCTACCTCCTTACCCTCACCCACCCCCCCTCCCTTACCCCCCCCACCTGGTAATTGGCTCCCTCATTTAGCTCCCCTTAACCTCCCCTAAACCTAGCCTCCCCTTAACCTACCTTAACCTAACCCCTCCTACCCCTCACCCCCTTAACCTAACCCCTCCTACCCCACATAGCCAACACCCCTTCCCCCTTAGCCCTCCCCTTAACCCCTTCCCCCTTTACCCTTCCTCCTTAACCCCTTCCCCCCCCTCCCCTTAACCCCTTCCCCTTCCCCTTCTTAACCCCTTCCCCTTAACCCCCTTAAACCCTTCCCTTCCCCTTACACTTATCCCCTTCATAACCCCTTCCCCTAACTTCCTCCCCTTAACCCCTCCCTCTAACATAACCCTCTTGCCTTCATACAACCTCTTATCAACCCTTCACCTTTACTATATAACCTTCCCCTTAACCTTAACCCCTTCAACCCTTAACCCCCTTCACATAACCCCCTTAACCCCCTTCCCCCCCTTCCCCTAACCCCTTCCCCCTCTACCTTCCCCTTAACCCCCTTAACCCCCTTCACCTAACCCCCTTCCCTTAACCTTCCCCCTTAACACATACATATCCTTCCTTAACCCCCTTCCCTTAACCCCCTTCCCATAACCCCTTCCCTTAACCTTCCCCTTAACCCCCCTTAACCCTTCCCCTTAACCCTTCCCCTTAACCCCCCTTAACCCCTTATACACTTTATCCTTATGACCCCTTCATAACCCCTTCCCTTAACCCCTTCCCCTTAACACATACATAACTTCCCCCTTAACCCTTACATGTATACCTATTTAACCCCTTCCCCTTAACCCCCTTGAACCCCTTCCTTAACCCCCTTCCTACTTAACCCCTTCCCTTCCCCTTAACCCCTTCCCCCTCCCCTTGCTTCCATAACCATAACCCCCCCTTCCCCTACTAACCCCCTACCTTCCCCCCTTTAACCTTCCCTTAACCCCTTCCCCATAACCCCTTCCCTTAACCCCTTCCCCTCCAACCCTTCCCCCTTAACCCCTTAACCTTCCCCCTTAACCCTTAACCCCTTCCCCTTATCCCCCCTTCCCCCTTAACCCCTTTCCCCTTAACCCCTTCCTTAACCCCTTCCCCTTAACCCCTTCCCTTCCTTAACCCCTTCCCCTTAACCCCCTTCACATCCTTCCCCCCCTTAACCCTTCCCTTAACCCCTTCCCCTTAACCCTTCATAACCTTCCCCTTAACCCCTTGAACCCTTCCTTAACTTACTAACCCCTTAACCCCTACACTTAACCCCCTTCCCCTTACCCCTTAACCCCCTTCCCCCTTAACCCCTTCATAACCCCCTTCCCCTTAACCCCCTTCCCTTAACCCCTTCCCCTTAACCCCCTACCTTCCCCTTAACCCTTCCCCTTAACCCCTTCATAACTTCCCCTTACCCTTACCCTTCCTAACCCCTTAACTAACCCTTCCTTAACCTTCCCCTTAACCCCTTCCCCCTTAACCTCCTTCCCTTAACCCCTTCCTTAACCCTAACCTCCCCTTCCCCTTAACCCCCCCCTTAACCCCTTCCCCCCCTTAACCCAACAAAACAACAAATTAACTTAAAATTTTACTTACGATTTTCACCAGATTTTTTCTTCACTTTTTTCAATACAAAATTTTCTTCGTTGAATAAATTTGGTTTTTTTTTTTATTCTGGTTTGTTTCACTTTATTGGGGTAGTTAGCGAAGAATTATACGTTAACTAGGTAATTGAGCGTTAACAGGGTGTTAACTAGGCAATTGATCGTTAACTAGGCAATTCAGCATTAACTAGTTAGAATAATATTACGTTACTATTACTTATATCTCATTAATAGATTTCTTCTACTACCAGTCCTATTAACGAGAACGTAACTAATAATCACCACAAAATGACTCAACTACCTTAACTAATCACCACTCAAAGGTCAGTCACAACCACTCACTATTTTCACTCATATCTACGTTATTTCTGGTTCAATATCTTCACTATCACTACTCACTGTTCTCACCATCACTGGGTTTAGTTCAAGTAAGTGTTGGGGTTGTAGGAGGAGGTTAATTGCCTATTTTGTCTATTTTAAGGGTAATTGACCTCACCTGACCGACCGGCTTGAAGATGGCGGGCAGACTCTCTCTATAATATCGACATTATATTATCTCAATATTCTACTGCCTTTTTTAACGTTATTATTAATTAAATTTGGTTTTAAAAATTGTTGGTTGTAATTGATGTTATAATTTATTTGATGAGTGTGTGTACTTATTTTTATATTGAAATGACTTTGTGAATCTTAAGTAATTTTTTTTGCCTATTATGTATTGAATTGGCTATTAAACAAACTCTAACTTTATTTTAAATTAAATATCATATGAAACAATATTTATTTTTAATCTATGCCGTCAAAACCTTATTAAATACGAGATATAACTTAGTGATTTATTTTCCAGATGAGTTTGAATCATTAATTTAAAGTCTCGTAAAAGACTTATTTTAACTAATTTATCTCTAACCAAATTTATTCCCCAAAATAATTAATTATTAGCGAATTAAATAAACATCTTTTCAAATAATAAAATACCCAAATAAAGTCTATTTGAACAAAAAAATAATTATTTCCTTACATATATCTAAACTCCTATCTTACTAAAACCACATCAAAATATACCTTTAGATCCCCTTATTTAAACTTATATCTTACAATAATTATATAAATAAAAGCCTCCCATTATTTAAACTCGCGGTATTAATAAAATTCCAATAAAAATAAATTCGTATCCTACACCACCGTCAGGGTTCGAGTCCGTCTTATGGGACACACATGAGAAGGGTCTTACCTTAGTGTCAGGTTAGGTTAGGTTAGGTTAGCCATTTATTATTATATTACTATTATTTATTATTACTATTATTTTATTATTATTTTATTATTATTATTATTATTTTATTATTATTATTATTATTATTTTATTATTTTATTATTATTATTATTATTATTATTTTATTATTTTATTATTATTATTATCATCTTATCACCACACCCTAATGACATGACCAAACTATCGCGACAATATCTAACGAGGTAATCTCCCACTGTCACTTACAGACCTGGACGAGCGAGGCGTCAACAGGTTTTGGGAAGAGCGGACACCCACACTCCTCGTTACCAATTCAGTGATTAATTAATGAAACCAGACAACCGTTATTAGAATTTTGACGTTTTGGTATTTCCGTTGTGATAGCTTAGGTTGGGTTATGGTTTGGTTGGTTAAGTTAGATTAGATTAGGTTAGGTTAGCGTGGAATTAAATTAGGTTAACGTCGATTAAGTTGATTAGCTTATTAGATTAAGTTAGGTTAACGTAGATTAAGTTAGGTTAACGTCGATTAAGTTAGGTTAACGTAGATTAAGTTATTACAATATTTAATCACCTGAAATAACCTAACCTAACCAAACCTCAGTCGATCCGTTAAACAAATTCTTCGGAAATGATTGAGCCGCGTCCCTTATAACGAGGCTAAACAACCCCAATACACCGAACATTTTGTGTTTTTTTTCTAAGCGTCGGCAGTATTTCCTGCCAGCGGAACGTGAGGTTAGGTTAGGGTTGGTTAGGGTTGGTTAGAGTTAGGTTAGGGTTGGTTAGTCATCGGATATTAATTGGGGTGTCTAATCTTCAGGTGCAAATACAACCCCACAAGACCTGCACAACCCACAAGACCTGCACAACAGACCTAGACTAACCTCACAACATTAAGGAAATAACATCACAAATTATTTTTCAAAATTTTATTATCCTCAAAAATTTATAAAATTAATAATAAAGAAATATTTTTCACAATTATCGATTTTTTTGTCCAAATAAAATGTGAAAAAAATTATTAATACCAATAAATCATCATACAAAGTGTCTTATAGATTAACACAACACAATGCAACGTTATATTATTAATACTTTAGTTAATATAAATTTTTTTCATATGTAGAATTTTTAAAACAATTAATTCTCCATCAAAACTCAAACAATATTCTGGAATAAATTACTAATAAATTAATATCTTTCTCAAATACATGTAAATAAAGTCATGTATATTTAATTTAGCATCGATAATTATTTAACACGGAGAAATTACTGAGAGGTCAAAGGTTAAATCATGTGGGAGTGTCATTTTTGCCCCCACACCTCTTCACATTACGTCACCTGAAGATTAAACACTACCCTTATTTTTGTTTGGAGTTAGGTTAGGTCAGGTCAGGTCAGGTCAGGTCAGGTCAGGTCAGTATAGGTGAAATACACTCCTAATCTCCAGGTGACCCCAATACAAATGACTATCAAAACACATCATTGCCTCTGCTGCTGTGCCTCTCTTCTCGCAGCGTCTTGGAGCAGCTGCGTGTCCACCTCGTCCACGGGCAGCTGCACATACCGGACAACTGACCCACGAATGAAGCAATTTTTTACAGACAGCTGAAAAAATAAATATATATTAGTTTATTGCCAATGCACACACACACACATATACAGACACACAGACAGACAGACACACACACATACATACATACATACATACAGTCTGCCAAACTCCTGGGTGTTATCATAGACCACAAACTGGACTGGAAGGCCCATGTAAATAACACAGTCAAGGCAGCCTCGTACCGTCTCTACGACGACTCGGGTCACTTGGGACACCCACGCCAGAGCTGAGGACCATCTACAACGCCTTTATTCTCCCCAAACTAACGTATGCGTCACCAGCCTGGTCGTCTTCTCTCAACTCCACCCAACAACGTCAGCTAGAGAAGGTACAGAAAAGGGCCTGCAGAATCATGCCATCCCTCAGTGACCTCCACCACCAAACACTAGCAAGGTTTGGCCGGGGACTACTGCACCATCCTCGCCACCTGCAGTCCCCCACCCACCTCGCGCAGTCCACCACTACAACATAATTCAGCCCATAAGAGCCCGCACTGATAGATATAAGCAGTGGCGTAGCTAGAGTGTGTGCCGCCGGGTGCCCTTGAGTTTGCCGCCCCCCCCCCCGTCCCCTACAAAAAATACATATTGCACAGTGACTCACTCTTTTATATATATATATATATATATATATATATATATATATATATATATATATATATATATATATATATATATATATATATATATATATATATATATATATATATATATATATATATATATATATTAAATAGTTTGTGTACCATTATAATATTACTGTACTTTCACATACTCAAATATAGTATGCTTTAAATACACCCCAAACATACTTAAACTTTATAAGTAACAGTTAAACAAAAGCAAAAACGACATATAGGATAGGGAAAAAAGTAAAAAAGTGTAAAAAATTAGGACCATCTTTATTTCTGAAATGAAAACTACAACTTTCTACAAAGTAACTTTTCTTGTTTTTTTTGTTGGCAAATTCTTCAATGACATTGTCAAAAACTATTTCATCTGTCAATTGTCGCTCTATAGACAGTATGGCAAGATTTCTCAACCGCAAGGTGCTCATAGTAGATCTTAAGTAATTCTTGATCAGTTTTAGTTTCGAAAAACTCCTCTCACAGGTAGCAACACTAACAACAATTGTGAGGAAAATCCTCAGCATTATTACTATATTTGGAACCGAGTTCCTAAGGTTATACTTTTGAATAAACTGCAAAAGTTCAAGGGGGCCTTCTTTCCACGTCTGTATTCTGTCTTTAATAGTTATAGCAGCAACAGCAACAAAATGCTGAAGTCTTTTTCTCTCAACGAGGAACTCCTCTTTATCAATGTCGTCGTGATCGTGATCTATTTGACACTCATATTTATCATCCAAAAGATTCAATGGGGTAAGGAAGGCATATTTCTCAGCAAGTTCATGAAGCTGTTGAAATCTCAAAGTTATTTCTTGGATCACTCTGTCCAGCGAAGAAAACATTTCTCTCCTCAATTCAATGTCGTATGGCAATTCAGCATCTCGTGATCCTTCACCAAACATCTGTTTCTTCTTTTTGGGTCGACGCTGACGCTCCATGACTATCCCCAGATCATTGCAAATTTCTTTGGCATAGTTAACTCCATTACTCACTAGCTTGTCCCTGTTTTCAACTAGAAATGTTTCTAATGCCCTGAGTTTTATATCACATTGTTGTATGTTGAAGCCCTTGGTTTGGAGGTAAGTCTGTGTGTCGTAAATTTCTAGAAGGACGGGTCCCCACAGGCCAAGAAGGAAAATGATTGCAACGCACCAAGTAGAACACCAGCATCTGCCCTGGTAGCTGTATTTTCTTCTTCACCAGTTAACTTTTCTAGGGCAGTTTAAGATTTTTGAGAAATGTTTCTTTACAACACTTACAGCTTCTCCCCTCGCACTCCACCGAGTTTCTATTATGCGCTTGACACTTTGACCAGTGACTGAAGTTAGAACATCCCAGCGATGGGTTGATGAAGACAAAAATACAAACTAACGTTCCACACATCCAAAAAAGGTAACAGAATTCACAGCAACAGAAGCTGCATGAACACCCGCCAAATTCAGCGAGTGATTTGTACAAGCGACAAATTCTGCTTTTTTATTAATTTCCTTGATACGTTTCTGAACACCAGTATGAACACCAGCCATCACCGCAGCATTATCATATGCTTGCCCTCTACAATTTTGAATATCAATTCCGTCTTTCTCTAATTTTTCCAAAATCATCATTGAAATATTCTCGGCGGTTTTACCTTCTGTTTCAATGAAATCGACAAATGATTCCACAACCTTCACCTTATCTCCATCGATCATAACATAGCGTAAAACTTGGCTCGTTTGATCCTTATGTGAAATATCAGGAGTGCTGTCGAATATCATGGAAAAGTACTTTGCTTCTTTTACTTGCTTGATGACTTTGCTTCTTACGTTTTCTCCCAAAATTTCTATAAACTCGTTCTGAATAGTATGAGACAGACGTGGGTCAGGTGTGAGGTCAAACACGACGAGGATTAACTTGCCGCCGATACAAAGGGATGGATTAACGTCTCCAGTAGCTGCAGATATGGGTGATGAGCAGACCCAAAAGTGCCGCCCCCCCCCTAGCTACGCTAATGGATATAAGAACAGCACCATCCCATCTATTGCTAAAACAACTCCTGTACTGTGCACCCCTGTAAATGTATTCAATGCATATCATTATGTCTAAATCAAATGTAAGTCTGTATATTTTATGCCACCGGCTGCAACTCTATTAATAAACCGTTTATTATTATTATTATTATTATTATTACACACAGACAGACAGACAGACAGACATGGAAGCTGGATTAGTTAATATATCGGTAATTATATATATTAGACAGACAGACAAGATTATATCGGTGAGTGAAATATCGGTAAAAATTGATATCGGTTGACATGCAAAAGAACTTACCATATTTGGGTATTTCTTGGTATCGGTAAGTGGTATCGGCAAACAGAGACACACCAATATTACCTACAATATATGCCTATAAATCAGTATCGGTAAGTGGTATCGGCAAACAGAGAGACACCAATATCACCTACAATATATGCCTATAAATCAGTATCGGTAAGTGATATCGGCAAAGAGACCCACCAATATTACCTACAATATATGCCTATAAATCAGTATCGGTAAGTGGTATCGGCAAACAGAGAGACACCAATATCACCTACAATATATGCCTATAAATCAGTATCGGTAAGTGATATCGGCAAAGAGACCCACCAATATTACCTACAATATATGCCTATAAATCAGTATCGGTAAGTGGTATCGGCAGAGACACAGCATCAATACTTACCATATGTGGGTATTTTTCGGTATCGGTAACGTTGATATCGGTTAGCTTGATGTTGAGGTATTGATCAACAGAATGAAGAGTTCCGCAGATACTGAAATTTATGAAGAATTATTAGAGGAAATTCTGAACAAATTGAGTAACCCAACTTAACCTAACCTAACCTAACTTAACCTAATCAACCATCTTAAATTATAATAATAATAATACGTAGTCGTTTATTTTGCCTTGTTAAAACACCTTAAATACATCGTTTTATCACATGTGTGCTTTGACGTTTTACTTAAAAAATACGATGCGTTTTATTTTGCTTAGTGGGGGAAAACTAAAGCCACATGGTGTATGGTAGTTTAGTAATAATTGGTAGTTAAATATCATGAAGGGTCCTTTACAAAATACAGTATATTACATTTGGCACGGAAGATTTTATTTTTGTTATCGACTTTATTGTTTCTGTGTGAAAATAGCCCCTAAAAGACTGGCTAGTGTCGGTGCTAGTGATGCTAGTGGGGTGAAATGTAAAAGGCACAAGTCAGTGATGAACCTGACAAAGAAAGTTGTATTATTAGACAAGATATAAGAGGTGACCAGTGTTGCCATGGCCATTTCTTGGAACCTAACCTAACCCCAGCAAATGACAAGGTTTACAGTAGAGCATTCCCGTTAAATTCGCATGGTTCAGGGTCGCAAAATTGCCGCAAATAGCCAAAGTTTACTATACCACGTCTTCAATAATATGAGAATTCACTCGTTTCTCATCCATTAATTTAATAAACTACGATGTCTTAAACATTGTCAGGCCTGGAGGAGGTTAGCATTAAGCAGTGATTTTTACGAACTATAACCAATCGTACGTCAACAACCAAAATACCAAACCGCGGTGAAATTTACACACCCACGGGACACTCGCCAACCTTTAAATACGACGGAATTGCAGCCAAAACCGAGATTTTCTCCTTTACGGCTGATAAGCAAAAACATTGAGGTTAATTTTTGCTGGTGGTTAAAATTATGGGAGTTAATTTCGCCATATACAGATTAACACTGCAGGTTAAATGTTAAATCTGGGTTAAATATGTGTTTGAGATGTGACAGGATTCATTGACGTGATATATCCTGAATGTGTGGCAAAATTACTGTGGTTGATCCTGACTTAATCTGACCTTTCCTGACTTAATCTGACTTTTCTTTACTTAATCTGACTTTTCTTAACATAATCTGACTTAATATAAATTTTCTTAACTTAATCTGACTTAATATAACTATTTTAACTTAATCTGACTTTTCTTAACTTAATCTGACTTAATCTGACTTTTCTTAACTTAATCTGACTTTTCTTAACTTAATCTGACTTAATCTGACTTTTCTTAACTTTCCTTAACTAATCTGGATTCTTCTAACTTAACTAACCTTTCTTAACTTAATCTGGATCTTTCTTATCCCACCCAACATAACTTCTAACAGACCTTAACGTAACTTTTCAGATATAAGCTTAAGGGTCAACAGGTAAACTAAGCTGGGGTGACTAATCAACAGGTAAAATAAGCTGGGGTGGCTAATCAACAGGTAAACCAAGCTGGGGTGACTAATCAACAGGCTAAATAAGCTGGGGTGCCTAATCAACAGGTAAACTAAGCTGGGGTGACTAATAGTGATTGGAACTAACCTCAAATCATTCTTCAGCTCTACCACCACGTCCTTACCAATGAGGGACTTGAAGAATGAATAAAATAACTGTGAAAAGAAGAAAAAATAATTAAATAAAGAATAAAATAAATAAGATAAAAAAAAATTAATTAAGCTTTATTGAGACAGACTGAGAGCTATGGGGGTCTGGTCCACTAGTGGTATTTTATTAATTATATATATCACAGCTATAATTCATGTATAATATTAAAGTTATAGGATAGATAGATAAGTTAATGGTAATAGATGTAATTAATATAGTCACCATTGTTAATAATTGATGGAAATATTTTGGTGATTTAGACCCGTGGTGGCGTCTATGGTGGTTGGGTTGATGTTATAACTCTCACCACGAACATTATCTAAAACAGTAATTAACTATATAATCAGTTTTTTTATAATTATCAATATTAATTTAATACTAAAATATTCAATTATAATTAATATATGATATTTTTTGTTTAGTTATTTAATATTAGTTAAATAAAATCCAAATATGTAATATAAAGTACGCTCGTAGTTGCTGTTCGTGGTAGTTTTATAACATCAAACACAATGGCTCGGTTTGTTGTTGTCTAAAATAATTTGAAATTATGATAAATATTTACATTAATATCTAAATTTATGGATATATATTTATCTAATTATATCTAAAACTATTGAGATATTTAGTTAGATAAATAGATAGATAGTTAGTCAATATATCACAAAAAATGAGTAGACAGTAACCTAGACATTAACTAATATATCTAAGCACTTATATATTTATCTGTATATTATCTATTAATCTATTTATTAATTAATTATCTAAAATATTTATCTGTATATTATCTATTAATCCATTTATCAATAAATTATCTAAAATATTAATCTATTTCTATAATATATTTAGGTTCGTTATCATTGTCAACAAGATAAACCTCATAAACCACAAAAACAAGATTAATAAATAAATTAACTAAAATAGCCATAATTAACGTCTAAATTAATATTATATAGACTTCACATACTAATAATAAACCATTAATTACATTATATAATAGTCATTTAACTTTTAATAAACCAAAAATACGATAAACTGTAAAAAACATCAATATACCAAAGAATCCAATTTACACTAAATATAACCATAATATAGAGTTTTAATATACAAAATTAATATAAAAACATAGATAATTATATAATAAATCAATATAAACCTTAAAAACATCAAAAATAACGTTAAAATAAGAAAAATAAGGAATATTTAGAGGGAATAAGTTTGTTTTCGCTATTCAGTAAGACAAGATGGAGAGGGAGGAGGAGTCCATCTGATCCCCCGTCTATTTTAACCCAATTATTCCACCTTAACGAGACACTAACGAGGTATGCCGGTGGTTAACTACTTAATAACACCTTAATGAGCTGTAGTAGTTAGGTTATTGTTAATGTTTACTTGTGATAAGGTGAAAGATAAGGGAGCGGTCAGGGATGCTGGCGTCTGTCTGTCTGTCTGTCTGTCTATCTATCTATCTGTCTGTCTGTCTGTCTGTCTGTCTGTCTATATATCTATCTGTCTATATATCTATCTGTCTGTCTATATATCTATCTGTCTATCTATCTATCAAAACATTCAGGTCAAGTTAGGTTAAGGTAGGTCAGGTTAGGGTTAAGTTAGGTTAGGGTTAGATTAAGTTAGGGTTAGATTAAGTCAGGTTAGGGTTAGATTAAGTCAGGGTTAGGGTTAGGTTAGGGTTAAGTCAGGTTAGAGCAGGTTAAGCCAGGTTAAAGCAGCGAAGCAGCTAAGCTTGAAGAAGGGCTTAGTTAGGTTGAAGAAAGGTTAATAGATTAGGTTAGGGTTAAGTCAGGTTAGGGTTAGATTAAGTCAGGGTTAGGGTTAGATTAAGTTAGGTTAGATTAAGTCAGGTTAGGGTTAGGTTAGGGTTAAGTCAGGTTAGGGTTAGGTTGTTTTCGGTTAGTTAGGTTAGGTTATTTCTTCCTACTCAGATCAATAAACTAACATGTTAATTTCCTTCCCCAGACGTTAACTCACCACCATGACTCTGGTGATTGGAACTGAGGTGATTAATGACGCGTCGGGTTGTTAGTTGAGTCAGTACAAGCGGTGATCATACAGCACCGTGCGCTAGTATCAGCTAGTGACTGGTAGCAGTGACTGTATGCTAGAAACTGTATGCTAGTGACTGTGTGCTAGTAACTGTATGCTAGTAACTGTATGCTAGTAACTGTATGCTAGTAACTGTATGCTAGAAACTGTATGCTAGAAACTGTATGCTAGTGACTGTATGCTAGAAACTGTATGCTAGTGACTGTGTGCTAGTAACTGTATGCTAGTAACTGTATGCTAGTAACTGTATGCTATTAACTGTATGCTAGTGACTGTATGCTAGTAACTGTATGCTAGTGACTGTATGTCTTTGTTCTGTTAATATAAGCTAAAATTGTGTTTATTTTATGTTACTAAATACATCTGTGTTTGTTGTAGAGTGTGGAGAACCTGGACTACCTCGTTAGCTGTGTTAACGGCCTAGAACGGGAAGATGTTATTTACCTCGAGGAATATTTAGTGTGTGACGACAGCCTGGGGTCACAGTCACCCGGCTACTGGGCGTCGCTGAGAGAGGAGAGACATCCGCCGGGTGATGGGGCATGTGGTGTGGTGGATGAGAGTGGATTCGAGGAGGTTATAGATGGTGGTGGTTCAGCTGCTGTTTCTGAAAGGTTAGTGGTGGTGTGGTGTGTGGTGGTGTGGTGGTGTGGTGTGGGTGATGTGGATGGTGTGGTTATTATTATTGTTATTGTTATTATTATTATTGTTATTATTATTGTTGTTGTTGTTGTTGTCACATTACAGGAGGGGCGGTGACAGTGGTGAGGTCATCGTGAGGTCACCGCCAGCCGTCAGGTCAACACGTGGGGTCACCAAGCCAAAATTTGTCTCCTACGAAGTCTTTCCTACGACTAAAACCAAAGGTGCGTAAGGTCGGGAAAAAAGTGTGTATGGTCGGGAAAAAAGTGTGTATGGTCGGGGAAAAAGTGTGTAAGGTCGGGGAAAAAAGTGTGTAAGGTCGGGAAAAAAGTGTGTATGGTCGGGAAGAAAGTGTGTATGGTCGGGAAGAAAGTGTGTAAGGGTCTCCAGTTATGGCTTATTTTAATCCTGAATTTAATAACTAAAAATATTAACTTTCAAATTACAAGTTGAGTAAAAAGCTTGAAATAAAGTTTGAAAGAAAGCTTGAAAGAAAGTTTTACGTCATTTACAAATTTTCTTATTAAACATCGGACCAAAATAATTAACTTAAGGCCCAAAAAAATAAATAACACCTCTACCAGACATGACCTCCAGCGACCTGTAATAACCTCCAAGTGACCTCCAACGACCTCTTAATAACCACTAGTGACCTCCAGCGACCTGTAATAACCTCCAAGTGACCTTCAGTGACCTGTAATAACCTCCAAGTGACCTTCAGTGACCTCTAATAACCTCCAAGTGACCTCTTAATAACCACTAGTGACCCCCATTACGCCTATTACAGAGAAGCCGTTCATGTGTGAGCTGTGCGGGCTGCGATTGGCCACGAGAGAGAGCCGTAGACGTCACATACTCTCCAAACACATCAAGGAACGCACCAATGTGTGTGGGGTGTGTGGCAAGGCCTTCATTTTTAAATTGTGAGTGTGTTAGTTTGTGTTCTATACAGTCAGGTATATTTAACTGGACCCTATACAGTCAGGTCTATATTTAAGTGGACCCTATACAGTCAGGTCTATATTTAACAGGACCCTATACAGTCAGGTCTATATTTAACAGGACCCTATACAGTCAGGTCTATATTTAACAGGACCCTATACAGTCAGGTCTATATTTAACAGGACCCTATACAGTCAGGTCTATATTTAACAGGACCCTATACAGTCAGGTCTATATTTAACAGGACCCTATACGGTAGAACGCCGCTATAACACGAGATACCTCCTCCCAAGAACGTCGCTTTAAACCGATTCCTCACTTCATCAAAGACTCGCTTCAGTGGAATAATTTAGTTTGGTACTTGATATAAAAAAAAAAAAACTATATTAACTTTAATTAACTGATAAATATGGGAAAAATATATGTTTTTATGATATATATATATACAGAAAATATTACCTGTAGTGAAGATAAAAGCTGGAGGGTACTGTTACTGTGTGGTACTGTTGTGGTACTGTTGTGGTACTATCTTGGTACTGTCTGTTGCCTCGTGTCACTGGGCCTACATCTCCCCCGACCGAGTCTAGATGAACCTCAGACCATCACAGAGGATAAACAAATACTCGTAAATCGACACGGCTAAAATTACGGGACGCGGAATGGTCTGTTTACTAGCGATCAGCTGATGTGAGAGGGTGGTCTCATTGGTACCACACACCGCCCACCTCTCTTATGCCCCACTCCATCACCACTCACTTCCCTCTCAATTTCGTTTTTCATCTTTTTATGCTGTAAAAAATAGGTCTTTCCCCACCTGTAGTTAGGCAAGTCGTCCGTTCACTAGAGCATCCGGGTGAAAACTGAGGGTGCGGGAGGGTGCGGGAGGGTACGTGAGGGTGCGTGAGGGTACGGGAGGGTGTGCGAGGGTGTGCGAGGGTGCGGGAGGGTACGGGAAGGTGCGTGAGGGTGCCAGGAAGTCGTATAGCATGCCCAGAGAGGTGTCTGGCGGTAAACATGAGGCAGGAAACTTAAAATATTGTTTATTTCCACACGATGCCCCAGATTTGACTCGCGTAAAATAGAAATGATTCTTTTTAAATCAATACGGCGACCTCATTTGTGGGTGTCGGTTTAAATCGGTAATTTTAAACCGATTCGCGTTAAATCGGCGTTCTTCTACATAACAAACTCCAGATTTACCGGAATCCTATATCACAAACTCTCAATATAAAGGAAGGAATTTTTTGGGGCTATTTTTCGCTCGATTTAGTGAACTAAGTCGCTAAATTGAGCGGAAATAACGGAAATTCGATTTAGCAGGAATTGGAATTTAACGGAAAGGGTCGGCTTGAAAAGTCCATTAAATCGAGAAAATGCTGTAAATAGAGATGAAAGTCCATTATATCGAGGGTCCATTAGTTGTAAAACCTCTATTTAATGAACTATATAGAGATGAAAGTCCATTATATCAAGGGCCCATTAGAATGCATATGCTCAGTGCAAAATATGTCAAGGAAAGCTTCTGATAAAGGCTTTTTCTGGGAGCAACCACTAAGACAGCTTGGATGATTCAAATTCACATGTGAAATAAGCTTTGGTGTCTAATCTTCAAGTAAAATAAGCTTATAGTCAATCTTAAGGTAAAATAAGCTTAGGTGTCTAATGAAATCAAATAAGCTTTGAGGTACCTAACCAATAAAACCAAAAACTTCGTAACCAAATCACCAAACCCTAATAAGCTTACCATACCATATTTCAGCGCTCTCAAGACACACCAAGCTGTACACTCAGACACCCCAAGCTTTATCTGTGTGTGCGGGTCATCGTTTAAGCTGCGGTCATCGTATATGGATCACGTGAGGAGAATACACCGGGCCGCCTCAGAGATGACTTTTATGTGCGAGCTGTGCTTTAAATCTTTTGGGGGTAAGGACTGTTATTATTATTGTCATTATTATCAATCATTATTAGTTATTGTCATTATTATTACTTCTTGTCATTATTATTATTACAGTATTATTATTATTACTGTCAGTGTTATTATTATCGGTCATCAACTCTGTAATGTTTCCGTTAACCACAATTCCTCAAACTCTGAACTCTGGAATATTCCGGGGATGGGGGATATTTTTCCAGGTTTGAGTGTCATCTAGTTACCTGGAAATCTGTCATTCCTGGAAGTGTTCTGGACCAATTGTTCCAGCTAATTGGGATATATTACTGTTGTTGTTGTTGTCATTATTATTGTCAGGTGAAATAAACTGGGGTGTCCTAATCTGCAGGTCATCCAAATACAGTACTGTACTCTCAAATCTCTCTCGTTCTTACATCATCATAACATAATAAGGAGTCTGCAATAGGGCAGTTGGCCCGTGCATGGCAGCTCCTGTCGAGAGTTACTACCACTCTCTATCATCCATGAATCTATTCAGCCTCCTTTTAAAACTTTCCAGCGTTCCAGCACTTACTACAAAGTTGCTAAGCTTGTTCCACCTTGTCCACCAATCTCTATCTAGCCTCCTTTTTAAACTTTCCAGCTGCTCCAGCACTTACTACAAAGTTGCTAAGCTTGTTCCACCTCATTCACCACCCTATATCTAGCCTCCTTTAAAACTTTCCAGCATTCCAGCACTTTGCTTTCGCTAAAGTTGCTAAGTCAAGTTCCACCTGTCCACCAATTCTATTCTAGCCTCCTCTTAAAATCCTTTCCATGCTCCAGCACCACAAAAGTTGCTGTGCTTGTTCCACCTGTCCACCACCCCTATCTAGCCTTAAAGTTGCTGTTGTCCACCTGCCCACCAATTTATCTAGCCTCCTTATGAAACTTTCCAGCGTTCCAGCACTTACTACAAAGTTGGTAAGCTTGTTCTACTCGTCCACCACCCTATTTGTGAACCAGTTCCTTCCTATCTCCCTCCTAAACCTAAACTTATCCAACTTAAATCCATTGCTTTGAGTCCTATCCTGCTCGGATATTATAAGAACTTTATCTATATCCCCTTTATTGATTCCTTTCACCCACTTAAATACTTCTATCATATCTCCCCGCACTCTTCGTCTTTCTAGGGAATGAAAGTTTAGTTTCTTTAACCTATCTTGACACTCTCCTGCAGATCGACACACCCTGCGTATACACCTGACCTCCGTACATAAGCCCAAGACAATACCCTGCACGTTCGACGGCTGCGGAAAACTCTTCTCCACGACTGGCCTCATGACCTCTCACTATAGGTAAAGTCCGAGGTGTCGTGTTTACCCTCTGTGTTTGTTGTTGTTTGTGAGGTGTTTTATTTAGCATCTGTTCGTAAGAAATGCTGACCGGGAAAGACGGATTCTACGTTTTTTTTTTTTTCGTTTGTTTTAATGATCGATATATATATATATATAGTATTATTTATTCTATTCCTGATATATCACCATTTATCACCACAAACTATCACCATTAACCCACCACCACAACCACACTATCACCGTCTCACACCACACTATCACCACCACCACACCACCATAACTCGCCTACCACTACCACCACACCCTCTCACCATCAAATGTAAAAAAAACCTAACCTAATCTCATCCCAACAGGTACCACTTAAAGCATAGGTTCACCTGTGTAGAATGTGGACAAACGTTTAGTACAGAGTCGTATATGTACAAGCATAGAGACACCCACTCAGGTAAGTCTGGGTCATTAATTGGCCTTACCTGTGTGTATGTATGTATGTATGTATGTATGTATGTATGTGTGTCTCATTTGTATACACATTCTCTCACACACTCTATTTACACAGACACATCCCTACAGCCCCTCTCTCTCCCACAGGTATCCGTCCCTACGTGTGTACTGACTGCGGCAAGACGTATCTCAGCACATCTCACCTCAATAAGCACCGCAGGGCAGCACATTCCACCCTGAGGCCGTACCAGTGTTCTTACTGTGGCAAGTGTTACAAGGGCAAAGATCAGCTGACTTACCATGAGAACAGCCATAGGGGTGAGTGTGTGGGGTGTGTCAGGTGGTGTGGATGGGGTGGGTGTGGTGTGGTGTGGGGTGTGTGTGGTGTGGTGTGTGGTGTGGATGGGGTGGTGTCGAGTGGTGGGTGTCATGTTTTGTGTGTCAGATGTGTCAAGTAATGGATGTTTGGAATTTGTTTACATTATGATTTCTTGTTCCACTGTTGTCTAGAGTTTATCACCACCATTAATACCACTATCACCACTACCACTATCACCACCATCACCACTACCAGTCAATATATATGGGTCAATTTCTCTCCTTTCATCATCTTTAATAACAAAATTCATTACGATTTTATTAATTTGTCACGTTGATTTGTCTCTCTGGTTTGTCTACAGGCGAGAAACCATATCAGTGTAGCGTGTGCGGTTATGCCACGGCGTACAGACACACATATTACGTACACAAGAAAAAACACTTGAAACCCTCGCTCGGAGATCAGAACGCCAATCAGGACGACGGGTTGAGCAGCGTCGTGAAAGACCGTAAGCCAATCAGGAAACAGGCGGAGGGAGATGGCGACGCTACCAAGACGTCGACTCTACGTAAGGTTAAAAGTAGAGTTACAGTTTCCACCAATAAGAAGCAGTTAGGTAAAGTCGTTGAATGTCAGGTGGAGTCTGTGCCGACGGTTGTTAGTCAGTGTACGAGCGTTGGAGGGAGTAAGGACGGTAACGAGTCGTCGTTTGCGTCCAGTTCGCTGCCTCTGAGCGTCATCTACGTCGTGTCAGCAGGAGGAGGCGTCAACGGGGTGGTTCAGCAACAGCAGTTAACTCTCCCGGTTAAAGACGGTTCCAACGCCATCTTAATACAGTCTGGTGGTGACGGTCAGGATGTTTCTCTTCCCAGCTGCGTCCAGTCTGGGTCTAACCACCAGACGCTAGTTCACCCCCAGGACGGTACTCACCAGACGCTCGTTCACCCCCAGGACGGTACTCACCAGACGCTCGTTAACCACCAGGACGGTACTCACCAGACGCTCGTTCACCCCCAGGACGGTACTCACCAGACGCTCGTTCACCCCCAGGACGGTACTCACCAGACGCTCGTTAACCACCAGGACGGTACTCACCAGACGCCAATACCCCCAGGACGGTACTTACCAGACGCTCGTTCACCCCAGGACGCAACCACCAGACGCTGCTCACCCCCAGGACGGTACTCACCAGACGCTCGTTCACCCCCAGGACGGTACTCACCAGACACTCGTTAACCACCAGGACGGTACTCACCAGACGCTCGTTCACCCCCAAGACGGTACTCAACAGATGCTCGTTCACCCCCAAGTCGTTAAAACTACCTTCCCAACCAATAACCTACTGGAGAATAATCGTTTAGAATCGTTCAAGCCGTCGGATAAAGACGTCAACGCATCGTCCGAGAAGCAAGAATCGTGTATTTTTCTGTCAAGTACCGGTAAGTGCGCCGTGCCGTCATGTGACAGCCGCGACGACTCTCTCATGCTCTTGAAGGTCAGCGATAACTCCTACGTCGGCATCTGCGGCCATCACGCGTTCACAGAGGGTTCGGGGGACGGCCTCAGACAACTAGGGGCCATCGACGTACAGCCTCTGGCCGCGGTGAACGTACAGACGGAATACGACGTCAAGACCCTACACCTAGTGACCCCGGGGAGTACCGAAGTCTGTCTCCCTACCGACGTCGACCAACGAGGGACGGATAACCAGGAGGCGTTGATTACGACCGCCGAGAACGACACATCCGACGCTCACGCAGTTATCCACCAGACGGACGATATGGTCACCACGATAAATAGCGGCCATGTTGACACCACAAGCTGCCACCACACTACCAGCTGCCACACCGACACCCCCAGCTGCCACACCGACACCCCCAGCTGCCACCACACCACTACCTCTGACACCACCAATCAGGCAGAGAACAGCAAGATGACCCCAGGAGTAGTTTCTTCAGTGGAGGAATTCCCGACCATATTAGAACTAGACGCAGAAGGTGAGAATCTACCTGGCCATATTGTTGATGAGTCGTTCAGTATGGCCCAGTTGGAGGTCCTATGCCCCTTGTGTGATGAACAGTTCTTCTGTATGGCAGATTATGTCACTCACTTGGAGAGTTGCCATAATTGAGGAACTGCCTTACTGTATGATAATTATGTCACCTACCTGGAGTATATCACCATAACTAATGAACCACTTGATCATGTTACCTTACCTCCAGTATTGCCATAACTAAGGATCTCACCTGGGGAAGGAGTCGCCATACAGGTAAGCTGTCAACATGGCGACCTTTTTCCTCAAATAAATGTATATTTAATTTTGGTTTTTTTCCGACATTTTTTTTTCACTGTAATTTTATATCATGGTCAGCAAACTCTTGATTAATTCCTACCTTCCTTCCTTCCTTCCCTCCTTCACCTACCTACCTTCCCTCACCTACCTTCCTTCCCTCCTTCACCTACCTTCCTTCCTTCACTGTGCCCTTATGATTTGGTTCAGGATTATATATAGACAGTTATGACTTAAACCCTTAGTGCTCACCTGAAGATTAACCCCCCCTAGACGGTTTTGAGGAGGTTAATCTACAGGTGAGCACTCGGGGGGGGGGGGGGCTAATCAACAGGTGATCAATGTAGACCTAACTCCATAAATAATATCACCCGTAGCCTCGTTTACACATCTTAACGACTCTCCCAAAACACAAACTGGAACCACCAATCACCACTCGGGTTAAAACTATGAAAATCCTCATTAATTCTTGGTAATTAGGATCATTAAGGTATAATTATTAATGATTTACTTTGAGAAATATCACATTGTGTTTTTTTCTTTCTGGATTATTTGGTAAGTGAAGGAAAAACGTGACTTGGATATTATTTATAAATTCTGGGGGATTATGAAAGTGATATACGCATCTGTTAGCTGGAACAATTGGTCCATAACACTTCCAGGAATGACAGATATCCAGGTAACCAGACGACTTACAAATCTGGCAAAAATATCCCCCCATCCCTGGAATTTTCTGGGTACTGGAAATTTTGTTGAGGTATTTCTGGAAAATGTGGCCCTTGGGAAATTTAAATTCTGGCTAATGGAGAGTTCTGAGTTTGAGGAATTCTGGCTAATGGAGAGTTCTGAGTTTGAGGAATTCTGGCTAAAGGAGAGTTCTGAGTTTGAGGAATTCTGGCTAAAGGAGAGTTCTGAGTTTGAGGAATTCTGGCTAAAGGAGAGTTCTGAGTTTGAGGAATTCTGGCTAATGGAGAGTTCTGAGTTTGAGGAATTCTGGCTAAAGGAGAGTTCTGAGTTTGAGGAATTCTGGCTAAAGGAGAGTTCTGAGTTTGAGGAATTCTGGCTAAAGGAGAGTTCTGAGTTTGAGGAATTCTGGCTAAAGGAGAGTTCTGAGTTTGAGGAATTCTGGCTAAAGGAGAGTTCTGAGTTTGAGGAATTCTGGCTAAAGGAGAGTTCTGAGTTTGAGGAATTCTGGCTAAAGGAGAGTTCTGAGTTTGAGGAATTCTGGCTAAAGGAGACATTACTGTATTGTACTACCAGGGATAATAGTTTAAGGTGTGTACACTTTCCAGAGTACATACATGTGTGTGTGGAAAAGGTCTACACAGTGCATTAAACACACCCCCCACAGTCTTCCACCTCCTCACAAGGCAATTTAAAATCTCATCAAAACAAACAAACAATTCCTTACAAACAAACAAATTCCTTAAAATTAACAAACACAAAAGGGGCAAGAAAAATATTCAGTTTTTAGCCAATGGTTTTTTTATTACCATTTGACAATACATAAAAATCTTACACTAGACCACAAACGGAAAAAATTGTAGGGATTATTTTTTTTGGGATGGGGTCAAAGGGGGGGTGGGGTAGAGGAGGGGTTTGAGGGTAAGGGTGTGGGAGAAGTTTTTTGAGGGAGGAGGCTACAGTGTGGAAAGGGTGATTTTTTTTACGATACCGTCAGTTTCTAAAGATCTATCTGAGATCAAATGCCAAGCCAGCAGCATTGTTTATTAACACTGATGGTTTTAATACACAGAAAATAAACCTAATTAATAATAAACTTCCTGGAATGACCATGTAGCGACCCTCATGTCTAAGAATCAGGTAGATGACGTCTTAATAAAGGCTTAATCCAGGTAAGTGACACTGGATCAAGTCTTAATCCAGGTAGATGACGTCTTAATAAAGGCTTAATCCAGGTAAGTGACACTGGATCAAGTCTTAATCCAGGTAGATGACGTCTTAATAAAGGCTTAATCCAGGTAAATTAAACACTGGATCAAGTCTTAATCCAGGTAGATGACGTCTTAATAAAGGCTTAATCCAGGTAAATTAAACACTGGATCAAGTCTTAATCCAGGTAGATGACGTCTTAATAAAGGCTTAATCCAGGTAAATTAAACACTGGATCAAGTCTTAATCCAGGTAGATGATGTCTTAATAAAGGCTTAATCCAGGTAAATTAAACACTGGATCAAGTCTTAATCCAGGTAAGTAAGACACTGGATCAAGTCTTAATCCAGGTAAGAAACTGGATCAAGTTTTAATCCAGGTAAATAAGAGACCGGATCAAGTTTTAATCCAAGTAAGACATCTGAATCAAGTTTTAATCCAAGTAAATTAGGCTTTTTGCATCTGATGCTTGCTGCTGGAGTTGCTGTTGCTGATGCAGAAGGAGCGATGCCCTGGTGGCTGCCGAGATGGTGCCGCCATGGGTTGTGGGCGGCTGCTGCTGCTGCTGTAAACCCACATCCAGGAGTGGGTTGGAGGCCGCCAGCATGTGTAGACTGGCGCTGAGGCTCGCTAAACTCACCTGAGCGCTTGGCACACCTGGGGGGGGCAGAGACACGTTTTTTTTTACAGGTATTCTGGGGTACTTACCTCACCTCCCAGCCAATGAGAGTACTCCATATACCACCGGCCAATGAGAGTACTCCACACTGCGAGACTAATGTACTGTACATACCACGGGCCAATCAGAGTACTCCACATATCACCGGCCAATGAGAGTACTCCACATACCACCGGCCAATGAGAGTACTCCACATACCACTGGCCAATGAGAGCACTCCGCCACAACTCTAATCTACGTAAGAAGAAAAATAAGGCGCTGACACGTTAGGTTAGGTTAGGTTAGTCCTCTAGTTCGCTTTAACAACACAATTGACATGTGAACACACTATGGTGTCTGGTCATAATTAATTAGCAATTTATGGCAATATTTAAGAATTTATGGCAATATTAAAGAATTTCTGACTAAGAATTTCTGGCAATATTTAAGAACTTCTGGCAATATTTAAGAACTTCTGGCAATATTTAAGAATTTATGGCAATATTTAAGAATTTATGGCAATATTAAAGAATTTCTGACTATTTAAGAATTTCTGGCAATATTTAAGAACTTCTGGCAATATTTAAGAACTTCTGGCAATATTTAAGAACTTCTGGCAATATTTAAGAACTTCTGGCAATATTTAAGAACTTCTGGCAATATTTAAGAACTTCTGGCAATATTTAAGAACTTCTGGCAATATTTAAGAACTTCTGGCAATATTTAAGAACTTCTGGCAATATTTAAGAACTTCTGGCAATATTTAAGAACTTCTGGCAATATTTAAGAATTCTGGCAATATTTAAGAATTTCTGGCAATATTTAAGAACTTCTGGCAATATTTAAGAACTTCTGGCAATATTTAAGAACTTCTGGCAATATTTAAGAACTTCTGGCAATATTTAAGAACTTCTGGCAATATTTAAGAACTTCTGGCAATATTTAAGAACTTCTGGCAATATTTAAGAATTTATGGCAATATTTAAGAATTTCTGGCAATATTAAAGAATTTCTGGCAATATTTAAGAACTTCTGGCAATATTTAAGAACTTCTGGCAATATTTAAGAACTTCTGGCAATATTTAAGAACTTCTGGCAATATTTAAGAACTTCTGGCAATATTTAAGAACTTCTGGCAATATTTAAGAATTTCTGGCAATATTTAAGAACTTCTGGCAATATTTAACAACTTCTGGCAATATTTAACAACTTCTGGCAATATTTAAGAACTTCTGGCAATATTTAAGAACTTCTGGCAATATTTAAGAACTTCTGGCAATATTTAAAAACTTCTGGCAATATTTAAGAACTTCTGGCAATACATTGTGGCAATATTTAACAACTCCACGTAAGAATTAACATTTGGTAATAAATCTTTATCTTACATAAAGTTAAAATTCAAGGTTAAATACATAAATTTATATCAAAACCTCCATATAACGAACTCTTGTCACTATAGTCCGCTAAACCGAGGTTCCATATATAAAGGACCCTCGATAAAATGAACTTTTTATCTATAGAATTCATTATATGGAGGTTTCACATATAACGGACCCTCGATACAATGGATTTTCTCAACTCTAGTTCATTATATGGAGGTTCCACATCTAACAGACCCTCGATATAACGGACAATCCTCGATACAGTCCATTAAATCGAGGTTCCGTTAAAAAAAAACCACAGAATCAATAAACAGATAAGTATCCCCTCCCACGAGGTATAATGAAGCAGTAAGCAAGCAAACGGGGTGATTACAAGCGATCGTTAGTGATGGTCAGGTAAACGAGCAACAGTCAGGTGGAACTAGTAGCAGATGTGTTCGACCAATAGCGTGAGAGGACGATATCTTAGGTGCTATTACAACAAAACAGAGTGGTTGTTTGTGTGTGGTGATTAGACTTTCAGGGGTTGTTAAGGGTTGTGATTAGACTTTCAGGGGTTGTGAAGCAGTGGAATATAATTACTTTCATGGGTTGTAATTACACTTCCATGGGTTATGAAGCAGGGGTTGTAGTTGTAATTATAACAGGTGATGGTAACAATGGGGAAAAGGTTGAATACTAATAAACTACAACTCACAACCATAAGATAATGAATTAACTAGTTGTAATTTCACTAAGACAATGACCTACAACTCACAATCCTGAAAAAACAAAAAAAAAGTTGTAATTTTCGCCACAAATCGAGGAAATGAACAAAGTGTCAGGGTTGTAATTTTATAACCAAAGGAATTAACTTTGTGTGTACATGTTGTGAGTGTCTGTGTGTGTATTAGTTTATGTACGTTCATGTGTGTGTGTAGACGATTAATTAGGTTACTTAATTACCCAAGCGTCTCGCCTAACCAAACTAAACACCTATTTCTGGGGGATTAAAACAATGTACCTTTATTTGTTAATTATTGACAGGTGACATGGTTAACACCTGTCGTGACCTCGTTAAGGGGCAGGCGACATGGTTAACACCTGTTCTTGCTGTTATTACACTATCATGCTATGGTAGTGTGTGAGGCAACAGGTAGTAGGTATTGTAGCAGGGAATAGTGTATGGTTATGGTAGCAGGTGGTAGTTAGGCAAAGGTCTAATCACCAAGCGTGTCAACATGCTAAACAGCCAATAGGAAATCACATTCGCTTGGCTAGGGATGACAAGCCATTAGCCCCCACTGGTAGTCAGGAGTTGGTCGTTATCATCCGTTTATTAATTACCATTTCTCATTCATTCATTAATATTTATTTTTGTTGATTTCGATTTTTTTTTTGGTCGTATCTGAATTCGTTTATTGACTTGTGGGGTGAACTAGGGGTGATGTGGTCCTTATCACCTGTAGATTAGCTCCCCACCAAGTGTTTACCTGTAGATTAGCTCCCCACCACGTGTTTACCTGTAGATTAGCTCCCCACCACGTGTTTACCTGTAGATTAGCTCCCCACCACGTGTTTACCTGTAGATTAGCTCCCCACCATGTGTTTACCTGTAGATTATTTCCCCCAAGTGCTCACCTTAAGCCACCTCCACCCAACCAAATCTAACCACCCCATAACTATCTTGGGAGCTAACATGAAAATGATTACTTGGGGGGGGGGGTGCTAATCGTCAGGTAAGCCATAAGGTCTAAAATTACACACACACACAGTCTCATTCGAAGCCATTCCTACACCACCCTCGTGTCTGATAAACGCCAATATTCCGAGACTACGAAACAATATATCAACGTCGTCAGAGGTAAACACACGGAATCGGACCCTAATGAAAAATTTGTCGTGATTTAGGCATACATTCAAATATACAGACACAGACAGACAGACAGACACATCGTAAAGACTGGCACTTGACATGAGGATTGATATTTTCAGACTTCTATTATACAGGGTGGTCCATAAGTGATGCTATTATACAGGGTGGTCCATAAATAGTTTTAATAAACCATGGCGTGTATTACCGAGACACAAATAAAGTTAATGACTGAATTGTTAAATGTCAACAGTAATACAGTCCACCCCCTGATTACTTAATGCAAACTACAGCTGATCACAAGTAACTATCACACACGAGGTCACGGGCCCTAAAGGTGATGTTAATGTTCGTTACCCTGTTCCTCAATGCCATACACCTTGGTTTATGTGGCCCTACAGGTAGTAATGAAGGGGGTTTATGTGAGGTGGCCATGACTGAGGTGGCCATGACTGAGATGGCCATGAGCCCCACCTACCACACCTGCCATAATCTATTGTAACTCAAACTATTTAAAATTAATTAAGTCATTTAGTCATTAACTTTATTTGTGCCTCAGTAATACACACGATGAATTATTGAAGCTATTTATGGACCACCCTGTGTAATAACTACGTCTGTAACCCCCCTCCCCCCGCCCCATCCGGATTCATCAACACCCTCACACCAACAGTACAGTGCAAAGTTTGACCATCGACCAACAACTGATATACAATAGTGACAATTTCAACTCAAAATATAGGAACAAAACTATTAGGGCGACACTCAGTACTTAACAGCCAATGTCGACCTGACCTGAAGCACCCTGTCCACCATACACTCGCCCCCAACACTGGATGAGAAGCCAAGAAACACCGCAAACTACACTGGGAGAGAAATGACGACTCCCTACCCCACCTAGGTGAGGAAACTATGAATTCCTAACTACACCACAAGGAACAAGAACCATCTCCAACACCCTGCGGAGGACCTCCCCAGACCACGTGGTTCGTCTGTAGTGAGGTAGAGAATCAACACCCAGGCAGTCAGCGCTAACATCAGGTCACAAGAATGTTTACAAGTCCAGCTTAAATACCACCACATCTATAATAAATCTATATGTTGACTCTATGTTGACTATGTTGACTATGTTGACTCTATGTTGACTATGTTTCTATATTGAAAGTTTTTGTCAATCAAGTGACCAGACTGAACGCCTCCAGCATATGCAACTAATCATCTCTGTTCGTTGTATATTATTAACCTCCGGGCTGCTGCCAGGTTATATTAACTCTCTCTCTCTCTCTCTCACACACCCAAAACCAGAGAGGGATAGAGGCACTTCCTGACCAGTGTGTTAATGTCTCTACTCCTTCTGACCACCGTAGGATTGGCTCTACTCCTGACCACCAGAGAGAGAGAGAGATAGAGGCTCCTCCTGACCACTGTGTTTATGTCTCTACTCCTCCCCAACGTAGAATTGGCTCTACTCCTGACCACCATAGGATAGCCGCCTCCTGACCACCTGTGACAGCCTGCACACTCACCGAGATTTGGGTTAGTGTCACACTGGGCCACGGAGCATCAGTAGGTAGCATCAGCAGCACAGCAGGTGTAACAGCAGCAGTAGCATCAGCAGCAGTAGCATCAGGGGGTCTACTTGGAGGCAGGGTTGACAGCCAGGGATGGGATACCTGGGAAAGCAGCTTGGACAGAACCTGGGGCGGTGGCAGCGCCGGGGAGGGAGTACTGGGGTCGGAAGTTGGCAAAGTTTGCGTTTCCGAGAGTCTGTAGTTGACCGGCCGGCGAGTAGCCCACTGGGAACGGGGTCGTCTCTTGACCTGTGTGGAGGGGGGTTAAAGATCAATTAGTTTGGTGATAGAGGTCAATTAGGTGATAAATCAGGTCAATTGTTAGTCTATTGATGTATAAATATGGTGACCTTTGGTGGGGGTTAAAGGTCAATTAGGTGATAAATCAGGTCAATTATTAGTCTATTGATGTATAAATGTGGTGACCTTAGGTGGTCAATTAGGTGATAAATCAGGTCAATTGTTAGTCTATTGATGTATAAATATGGTGACCTTTGGTGGGGGTTAAAGGTCAATTAGGTGATAAATCAGGTCAATTATTAGTCTATTGATGTATAAATGTGGTGACCTTAGGTGGGGGTTTAAAGGTCAATTAGGTGATAAATGAGGTCAACTATTAATCTATAAATTAGAAATGTGGGATAAATGAAGTTTTATCCAGATCTATCACTGTATTAAAAATAGACTACACCTTTTCACATATCCGTTGAGACATTGTTACATAACTATTTGACAAATTTCATAACCGAATGACAGAACACATATTGAATGACACTCTAAAATAACTGTTGGTTCATGCTGACAGAAGTGACTGACGTAAGTTATGAGGTTGACAGACGTGAACAATAAACCGACAGTCTACATAGAGTTTGAGAATGTAACAACTGGAGAATGACAGACCACCAACAGTTATTTTAGAGTGTCATTCAATATGTGTTCTGTCATTCAGTTATGAAATTTGTCAAATAGTTATGTAACAATGTCTCAACGGATATGTGAAAAGGTGTATTACTGTATTAAAAATTGATTATTATTGTATTAAAATACAGTAAAAGTCCAAAAATCCAGAAGCCACAAATCCAGACCACCCGAGAATCCGGACTTTTCTAAAACTCAAACTTTTTTTTTAGCGGGCTTGTGTGTATGTGCGCATGCGTGAGCGCCACAGCTGCACAGCCACCACGTGGTCGCCACTTTAAAACGAACAATCAAACTGTGACAACGTATGTAATTTTGAGTCCTACTGTTTCCATGTACAGAGTACTGTACTGTACAAGCCCATAATAATGGCTCCTAAAGTAGATAAACTTGGTTGTGTGAAGAGAAAGAAGAACACGTTGAAACTGAGTGACAAACTTGAAATAATTAAGACACTAGAACGTGGTGTGAGCAACACTGATCTAATGGAAACATACAACATTGGAAAGTCTACAATTTATGATATAAAAAAGGCAAAGAATAAAATTCTAGAATTCACAACTTTATCTTTAAAACTGCTCCTTTTGATAAATGAACCATGCTATATTACTAGTGAATAAACTATCAAAATGTACCTGTTCATCTCTTCTTTATTCCTCCTTAAATTGGAATTTTAAAAGTACTGCCTGAGAGTCCAGACCGACCCAATCCCCAGGCTGTCCGGATTTTTGGACTTCTACTGTAGACTATTATTGTATTAAAAATAGACTATTATTGTATTAGTGTGTTCATGTATGTGTGTGTTAGTGTGTGTGTGTGTGTGTGTGTGTGTGTGTGTGTGTGTGTGTGTGTAAATAATCCTCAGTGACCAAACAACGAAAACACAACAAAAAAATAAGACAAAATCAAAACAAATAAACTATAAAAAAAGCGAAGAAAAACAGACAATAAAAAAACTTAGTAAAAATACTGAACAAAAGTTAATACTGAAAACTACACAACAGCAAGTTAGCAAAATTATTAATAAAACAAATAATTCTTTTTTGTTTCCTCCAACAAAAACAAACAAACACACAGTTGTTTAACCACTTAGGGGCAATAAATGAAGCCATGCATAAGCACAGATGATATACTATACAATATAATGGAACAAGAGACTATGGAAATTAGGTCACAGATTCGAGGCTATGGAAATTAGGTCACAGATTCGAGGCTATGGAAATTAGGTCACAGATTCGAGGCTATGGAAATTAGGTCACAGATTCGAGACTATGGAAATTAGGTCACAGATTCGAGGCTATGGAAATTAGGTCACAGATTCGAGGCTATCGAGCTATAGACAGATTCGAGGCTATTTGCTATTAGACCAAGAAAATAGCAATGATATATGACATTTATTTGAGATAAAAAAATATTCACTGTGTAAAATTGACTTAAAATCTATTATATGCGTTAAATTGGCCAGTTTAGTGTCTTTTAACGAGCTAACGAGGTGATTGCGTATTCTCCTAATATAATCTTACCTAAATCTAACCCTATGCAGCTAAAATAATCACCACAAGGGAAAACTATAGAGAAAATTAATCACAGCTGCACAGGAACTTTACAATGTATATAGTTTAGAAATGGTTATAGAATTAGTGGTATATTGCAGTGAACCATGAGAGAGAGAGAGAGAGAGAGAGAGAGACCACTATACTAAAGTTAAGTAAAACAACAATATACCAGATAACAGAGAGGCAGAGAGAGAGAGAGAAAGTGAGTAAGAGAGAGAGTTATATAGCAGCGTAGACTTCCCCTCACCTCCCCCCTGAGCGGTCTTGTCCAAATTACCAGCTCCGGAGGCCAGGCGGGAGAGAATGGATCGCTCGGACATCTGTAGCCTCTGGGCCACTGGGGGTATGCGGGCGAGAGACGCTGGCAGCCGCGTCACGTCGGACTTCATGTCGGACAGAAGTTCCTCCAGCTGGTTTAATACCTGTGGGGGGGAAGGCGTTTGAGATCCATGGCGTCCAAGATGGGTGGTTTAAGTCAGATCCAAGTCCAACTGGGTGGTTTAAGTCAGATCCAAGTCTGACTAGCTCGTTTATGTCAGGCTGGGTGGTTTATGTCTGACTAACTCATTTAAGTCCAATGGTTAAGTCCAGCTAACTGATTTAAGTCCAATTAAATAGCCAAGTCCAACTAACATACATTAAGTCCAACTAATGTTAAATTAATCTTTTCAAATCCAACATTTCCACTAACAAATTATTACTTTATATAATTACCTAAATAATTAATCTAAACAAATCAGATAAGTCCAACAAATTTTTAACTTATGCCTTAAATAATTGTATTGAGATAATTTTGTTTTGATTATAAATTATTGATAAACCTCCATCTAATGAACTATATAGAGATGAAAGTCCATTATATCAAGGGCCCATTATATGTAAAACCTCCATCTAATGAACTATATAGAGATGAAAGTCCATTATATCAAGGGCCCATTATATGTAAAACCTCCATCTAATGAACTATATAGAGATGAAAGCCCATTACATCAAGGGCCCATTATATGTAAAACCTCCATCTAATGAACTATATAGAGATGAAAGTCCATTATATCAAGGGCCCATTATATGTAAAACCTCCATCTAATGAACTATATAGAGATGAAAGTCCATTATATCAAGGGTCCATTATATGTAAAACCTCCATCTAATGAACTATATAGAGATAAAAGTCCATTATATCAAGATTTCACTACAGGCTCATCAGTCAAGTCAGTAAAGGCAGCATCTTACCTTATTTAGTACAGCATTGGCAGGTTTATTCCCAGCGAGGGATTCCTTGCTCAGGTGCTGGTGTGACTCGGCCAGACATTCGACCTCGGCAAACCGGGCATTGAGAGCGCAGGCCGGGTGATGTGGATCCTGTTGCAGGTTGAGGAAGGCTGCTCTTCTTAACTGCTCCTCAATCACCAGAGCCTGTTCCAGCAGCTGTAGGGGGAACGAGGTGGTTGGAGTTGTTTACAGATCGTATTGATAATTTACAAAGATTATTTATTTTATTTTTTTAACGTAATTTGTGTCTTTTACAAATATTTAATAAATTTTACACTCTGACACCCTCCCTCCAGCCATGACCACACCCTAACACACCCATAACCACACCCTCCCTCCAGCACCACACCCTAACACACCCTCCCTCCAGCCATGACCACACCCTCCCTCCAGCCATGACCACACCCTCCCTCAGCCATGACCACACCCTCCCTCCAGCACCACACCCTTACACCCTCCCACTCCAGCCATGACACACCCTAACACACCCATAACCACACCCTCCCTCCAGCACCACACCCTAACACCCTCCCTCCAGCCATGACCACACCCTCCCTCCAGCACCACACCCTAACACACCCACCTTAAATCTTCTCGCCAGGAATTTATTCTTAATTTCCAGAAAGTTCCCTTTGCCGACGTCCATCTTGAACGGCTCGTTAATGATGGCAAACCTGACGTCGTTCTGTATGTCCTGCCAACGACCGTACCCGTGGGTAACGATGCCCGCCAGCAGCCAGTAGTCGTGTCTGAGGGAGAGAAGGTTCGGTTAGGTTAGGTTAGGGGTGGGTTGGGTTAGGTTAGGGGTGGGTTGGGTTGGGATTAGGGTGAGTTGGATGGGATTAGAAGTGGGTTGGATTAGGATTAGGGAATTGGGTTGGAGATTAGGATTAGAGTTAGGTTAGGTTAAGGAGTGGGTTGGAGTTAGGTTAAGTGGGTTGGGTTAGGTTAGGGTGGTTGGGTTAGGTTAGGGGTGGGTTGGTGAGGTTAGGGGTGGGTTGGGTTAGGTTAGGGGTATTGGGTTGGGTAGGTTAGGGTGGGTTGGGTAGGTTAGGGGTGGGTTGGGTTAGGTTAGGGTTGGGTTGAGGTTAGGTTAGGGGTGGGTTGGGTGCAGGTTAGGGGTGGGTTGGGAGGTTAGGGGTGGGTTGGGTTAGGTTAGGGGTGGGTTGGGTTAGGTTAGGTTGGGTTGGGTAGGTTAGGGGTGGGTTGGGTAGGTTAGGGGTGGGTTGGGTTAGGTTAGAAATTGGGTTGGGTGGGTTAGGGTGGGTTGGGTTAGGTTGAGGTGGGTTGGGTTGGGTTAGGGGTGGGTTGGGTTAGGTTAGAGATTGGGTTGGGTAGGTTAGGGGTGGGTTGGGGTTAGGTTAGGGGTGGGTTGGGTTAGGTTAGGGGTGGGTTGGGTTAGGTTAGGGGTGGGTTGGGTAGGTTAGGGGTGGGTTGGGTGGGTTAGAGAATTGGGTTAGGTAGGTTAGGGGGTGGGTTGGGTTAGGTTAGGTGGGTTGGGTTAGGTTAGGGGTGGGTTGGGTTAGGTTAGGGGTGGGTTAGGGTTAGGTTAGGGAATTGGGTTGGGTAGGTTAGGGGTGGGTTGGGTGGTTGGGGTGGGGGTTAGGTTAGGGAGTTGGGTTGGGTAGGTTAGGGGTGGGTTGGGTTGGGTGGGGTGGGTTGGGTAGGTTAGGGAGGTGGGTTGGGTAGGTTAGGGGAGGTGGGTTGGGTTAGGTTAGGGGTGGGTTGGGTAGGTTGGAATTGGAGTTGGGTTAGGGGAAGTTGGGTTAGGTTAGGGGTGGGTTGGGTAGGTTAGGGTGGGTTGGTAGGTTAGGGGTGGGTTGGGTTAGGTTAGGGTGGGTTGGGTTAGGTTAGGGGTGGGTTGGGGTAGGTTAGGGTTGGGTTGGGTAGGTTAGGGGGTGGGTTGGGTTAGGTTAGTTGAGAATTGGGTTGGGTTGGGTTAGGGGTGGGTTGGGTAGGTTAGGGGTGGGTTGGGTAGGTTAGGGGTGGGTTGGGTTAGGTTAGGGGTGGGTTGGGTTAGGTTAGGGGTGGGTTGGGTAGGTTGAGAATTGGGTTGGTAGGTTAGGGTGGGTTGGGTTAGGTTAGAGTTGGGTTGGGTAGGTTAGGGGTTGGGTTGGGTTAGTTTAGGGTGGGTTGGGTAGGTTAGGGGTGGGTTGGGTAGGTTAGGGGTGGGTTGGGTTAGGTTGGGGGTGGGTTGGGTTAGGTTAGGGGTGGGTTGGGTGGGTTAGGGGTGGGTTGGGTAGGTTAGGGGTGGGTTGGGTTGGAGGTTAGGGTTGGGTTGGGTTAGGTTAGGGGTGGGTTGGGTAGGTTAGGGTGGGTTGGGTTGGGTTAAGGTGGGTTGGGTTAGGATTAGGGATTGGGTTAGGTTAGGTTGGGTTGGGTTAAGTTAAGGTGGGTTGGGACTTGGAGTTAGGATTGGGTTGGGTTAGGTTAGAGTTGGGTTGGGTTAGGTTAGAATTGGGTTGGGTTAGGTTAGGGGGGTTGGGTTAGGTTAGGGTGGGTTGGGTAGGTTAGGGGTGGGTTGGGTAGGTTAGGAATTGGGTTGGGTTAGTTTAGGGGTGGGTTGGGTAGGTTAGGGGTGGGTTGGGTAGGTTAGGGGTGGGTTGGGTTAGGTTAGGGGTGGGTTGGGTAGGTTAGGGGTGGGTTGGAGTGGGGGTTGGGTGGGGTTAGGTTAGGGGTGGGTGGGTTAGGTTATTAGGGTGGTTGGGTATGGTTAGAGTTGGGTTGGGTAGGTTAGAGTTGGGTTGGGTAGGTTAGGGTTGGGTTGGGTAGGTTAGAGGTGGGTTGGGTAGGTTAGAGATTGGGTTGGGTAGGTTAGGGGTGGGTTGGGTTAGGTTAGGGAGTGGAGTTGGGTTAGGTTGGGTTGGGTTGGGTAGGTTAGGGGAGTGGGTTGGGTGGGATTAGAGGTGGGTTAGGTAGGTTAGGAATTGGGTTGGGTTAGGTTAGGGTGGGTTGGGTGGGTTAGGGGTGGGTTGGGTAGGTTAGGGTGGGTTGGGTGGGTTAGGGGTGGGTTGGGTTAGGTTAGGGTGGGTTGGGTTAGGTTAGAGTGGGTTGGGTAGGTTAGGGGTGGGTTGGGTAGGTTAGGGGTGGGTTGGGTTGGGTTAGGGGTGGGTTGGGTAGGTTAGGATTGGGTTGGGTTAGGTTAGGGGTGGGTTGGGTTAGGTTAGGGTTGGGTTGGGTAGGTTGAGAATTGGGTTGGGTAGGTTAGAAGTGGGTTGGGTGGGTTAGGGGTGGGTTGGAGTTAGGTTAGGGGTGGGTTGGGTAGGTTAGGGGTGGGTTGGGTTAGGTTAGGGTGGGTTGGGTAGGTTAGAAGTGGGTTAGGTTAGGTTAGGGGTGGGTTGGGTAGGTTAAGGGGTGGGTTGGGTTGGGTTAGGGGTGGGTTGGGTAGGTTAGGGTGGGTTGGGTAGGTTAGGGGTGGAGTTGGGTTAGGTTAGGGGTGGGTTGGGTAGAGGTTAGGGGTGGGTTGGGTAGGTTAGGGGTGGGTTGGGTTAGGTTAGGGGTGGGTTGGGTGGGGTTAGGGGTGGGTTGGGTTAGGTTAAGGGGTGGGTTGGGTTAGGTTAGGGGTGGGTTGGTTGGGTTAGGGTGGGTTTGGTTAGGTTAGGGGTGGGTTGGGTTGGGTTAGGGTTGGGTTGGGTTAGGTTAGGGTGGGTTGGGTTAGGTTAGGGGTGGGTTGGGTTAGGTTAGAATTGGGTTGGTTAGGTTAGGGTTGGGTTGGTTAGGTTAGGGGTGGGTTGGGTTAGGTTAGAATTGGGTTGGGTTAGGTTAGGGGTGGGTTGGGTTAGGTTGAGGTGGGTTGGGTAGGTTAGGGGTGGGTTGGGTTAGGTTAGGGTGGGTTGGTTAGGTTAGGGGTGGGTTGGTTGGGTTGGGGGTGGGTTGGTTAGGTTAGGGGTGGGTTGGGTAGGTTAGGGGTGGGTTGGTTAGGTTAGGGTGGGTTGGTTAGGTTGAGGTGGGTTGGTTAGGTTAGGGTGGGTTGGGTTAGGTTAGGGGTGGGTTGGGTAGGTTAGAGTTGGGTTGGGTAGGTTAGGGTTGGGTTGGTTGGGTTAGAGGGTGGGTTGGTTAGGTGGGGTGGGTTAGTTGGGTTGGGGTGGGTTGGTTGGGTTAAATTGGGTTGGGTTGGGTTAGGATTGGGTTGGTTGGGTTGGAGGTGGGGTTGGGTTGGGTTGAGATTGGGTTGGTTAGGTTAGAATTGGGTTGGTTGGGTTAGAGTTGGATTGGTTGGGTTGGGGTGGGTTGGTTGGGTTAGAGTTGGGTTAGTAGGTTAGGGTTGGGTTGGTTAGGTTAGGGTTGGGTTGGTTAGGTTAGAAATTGGGTTGGTTGGGTTAGGGTGGGTTGGTTAGGTTGAGGTGGGTTGGTTAGGTTAGGGGTGGGTTGGTTGGGTTAGGGGTTGGGTTGGTTAGGTTAGGGGTGGGTTGGTTGGGTTAGGGGGTGGGTTGGTTAGGTTAGGGGTGGGTTGGTTAGGTTAAGGGTGGGTTGGGTTGGGTTAGGGGTGGGTTGGTTAGGTTAGGGGTGGGTTGGATTGGGTAGAATTAGATTGAGGTTAGGGTGGGTTGGTTAGGTTAGAGTTGGGTTGTTTAGAATTGGGTTGGTTGGGTTAGAGGTGGGTTGGTTAGGTTAGGGGTGGGTTGGTTAGGTTAGGGGTTGGGTTGGTTGGGTTGGGGTGGGTTGGGTT